TTTATAAATAAAATAAGTATTTTATCATATTAATCCTTAATCCTTAATTTAAAATAATATATGCTATAAATAATAAAAGACCGGTCTGGACCAGTCTTCAGAATAAGGACCGAGGACTGCAAGGACCGGTCCCATTAACCGGTCTAAAACCGGTCTTATCAGGACCGATTCATCCTTAGAAAAGAACATATTTATTCTTCCAAATAGTTACTCTTTTCCAATTTGTTGACTGTCTTCGGCATAAAGTATTTATACAAGGTCCAGTAATAGTAGAAGGAAGCATATTTGTCTCTTAAGTGAAGTACCTTTGAGTTTTTGGATTCTCTGCTATTTCAGAGCTAAAAATAAGTAGATAATCAAAATCTCAAAAAGTACTATATAAATCGATCGGCCAATCACGTGAAAGTTCACATCTTCACCCCACGTGATTCTTGGGATAACCTATATTTGTCACACGAATAATTTCGGCTAAGCCGTGGCTAAACATACTTATAAATTTGATGTATCAGTCAACTCTCCATCCAATTCCCAAGCTACGAACCCACCGGTCCACGAAAAAAAATCTTGTTCACATTCACCGTACCGTATTTATTTATTTATTTATTTATTTTGGAAAGACGAACATTGGCAGCAAAACAAACCACGTATGGAAAAAAAAAATAACAAATGGGCAGAATAAATTAAGGTATTGTTAAAATAATGCAAACATTGTTGTTATGATTTATTAAATGCTTTAACCTTGTAGAGAAAAATTAACTATGCGGAAGAGCGTGTATCTGCGTTGATGCATCGTAATGCCAAGAATTCAAGCAAGGTCTTCATTTGCCCATGGGTATGCTGTGACATATGCCGGATTTTGTGCGTCTTCCGCAACAACATATTCATCTTGTTGAGACATCTTCGGAAGATGACATTTCCTTGTTGATGCAAGTTTAAATGACAGAGGTGTGCGTGCACTATCTGAATACTCAGTGACGAGAACGCTTTTTGATAGTCGTTTTATGGGTGCGGTTTGGCATGCCGATCCACTGTAGTGTCACTTTAGTTGAATATGTTTTTTTGATCTTGATTTTGTTGCGTAAGATAAGTACATTTATATTCATCAAGAAAATTTGTTTGTGAAAGCCGTTTTTATTGAAGCAATCTCATATCATTTCAGCAATGCGATTCCTGAAATATTTTTACGAATGTTCATCATTACGTGCCCACTACCACGCCTCGAAAATGGTTTATTGAAACATTTATTGTTTCCCATATCAGACCTTATGTTTTTAACCAATATATGCTACATGTGGGTGAGTATGTATGTGATGTGCATCCACTGCAATGGAATAATAAAAAAGTGTATATGTTGTTTATGGTTTACATAATAACGTTTACAAATATTATTTATCGAAAGTTTGAATCCCGGTTTTATATGACCTATATATCAAACTATGTATTATATATGCAAAATCGTGAAAATTTATTTTTATCTTACCTTCTCACGTTCGAAACCAGAAAAATTATATGGTTGAAATTTTTTTATTCTTCTTTATCTCCCGAAATCTATTATTGAAGAAGGCAGACCTTTGAATTATTCCATCTTGTGTAAAAATATTATCGAACATGTGATCGATTCGTTGAGAAAATTAAATTCGAAGCTTTTAGGCAGAATGCTGAGGTCAAGGCTGAGAATATCGAAGCTAAAGCATGCTTTGGAAAACATGATTCACGAATTTACAATAGGGAGATAAAAGAAAAGACCAGCCTTATTGCTAAATTAGGTGATGATATTAAGGGAATTAAACAATCTTCGGCTAATATCAGAAATAATTCTGACAATATCTGAACAGATAGAAAATACATCTGATAACTCAAGTTCTGATGTATGTCAACGCATTCGCACAAAGTCTAAATCGTTGGAAAGACAAAGAGATCAATGATTTTGTAGATCCGAAATATAAGGAAATCAAGATAAGAGAGAAAATCAGGGAAGCTAAAATTCCAAGACTTATTTGAAGGCGAAGATCGTTCTAATTGGCCAGCAGAAAACGAAAGGAAATATAAACAAAGAACGATCGAAAGTTCGGTATGTGTAATTTATGACTTATAAGATATATGTTTTCTAATGTTTCTGGACTAAATGTTATTTTTCTTTGATATTTGGAAATTAAAGTTGTTTTGATAAATTGTAGTTTTCCTCTTACGCGTGTTCGAGTACAAAATCTTCTTTTGATATTCTTCAAAGTTTTGTTGAATAATTTGGTATTATGGAAACCTAAAAATAATAGTGCTGCTAATGAACAAGGTAATCACGTCAATTTAGCTGAAAGCTACGATTATAAATCATATTATCCAGTTTATGGAATGAATTCTTATGATTCTGAAAATGATGAAATGAGATGCCTAGTCTCGCGTTAATTGTTGTATTTATGACGAAAAGTATATATAAATGTATCTGTATAATTGAATTGTTATAATAGTTGATTTTGAAGCTGAATTTGTTATTTGCATTTATAGTCGAAGTTATTATATATGTGATCCTGTAAAGAAATCGGGTAATCATGCAGAATCGGGGCATAATTATCAACTCAATATGTCAGATTTCAGAATTTTTAATGTCAAGGAAAAGTACGTTTGAAGAAAATAAGATTTTAATGCAAGCGTTTTTGATGATTATCAAGGAAATATCTTAAAATGTGTTTTTATCGCTTTTTATAGAATGATACGTTGTTCCGGATAATGATTATTTGGATTATTTGGATAACAACGCAAGACAAAACACAAGCATTATGCCGTATATTGAACAAGGGTCTGAAGGTGACTAAATGTAAAATAATCTATTTAAATTACTTTTAATCTACAAAATAATTAAAGATTTTTCTTATTTACCTTAGGCAAAAAATACGCGCCCCATGATGTCTTTAACATGCTTATCTCTCTTGACGTCGTAGTAAACATGAAGGAAGTGATTTACCTTTATCTGTTAATGGAATAAATTTACGGATTCAAGATGGATAGATGACTTAGTCTCATTCCTTCAAGAACCAGGAATGGTAAAAGCATAGATTTAAAATTCACGTGAAATTCTCTAATTGTTATTCAATGCTAACACAAAATTATATATATAAACTTTTAAAGAAGACCTTTATAGAACTTCCTAGTCAATTACAAAGTTGTCAGTGACAATTAATGATTCTTCAGTAGACTTTAATCCGAACAACATTCCTGCGCGTATTATTCTAGTACTTGAAAGTTTAAAGGTACTTATGTTAACCGTACGTATACCCTCTTTGAAACGTCATTGATGATGTAATATTTCCCATTGGCAATTTATTTACAAGCATCGAGTAATATAATATCCGAATCACCAATGTTTGATACAAAATTAATTGGTCAAAATTTGGTTTTAATGCTTGTCGGTGATAAAAAAATCAATTGATGAGTGCGATAAATCGACTCGTCTCATCAACTATTGACGTTAAAAAGTACTGGCAGGTAATTTTTTATTTACATTTATATTATATTTATTAATTATCATATATTCTACTAATCGTATAATTTTTTAAAAAAAAAATTTAAAGAATATGGGATTCGTTAAAGCCGAATCTCTCGACTTTGTAGAAATCCAACTTCACAGTACTAAAGCAGATATTTATACGAAATTTGAGGTATATAATATTGTAAAGTTAGATAGTATTTCCCAACGAGTTTATTAATACCTCATTATTTTATATCTTGATATTACTAATGAAAATCTTAGGATCGAAATATGTGCGGATACAATTCCAAACATTATTGAATATGGTTAATCATTTAAACCCAAAAGCAGAAGATCCGGAAAAGGGGTATGCAAATCCTTCTTTAAAATTATATAAATCTTTTTGATTAATATTTTTTATTTAGACGTATAACAACTGATCCTGTTGTCCAGAATATGTTAGGTTCGTCTTATTTTTTATGTTTCAAAAATTTTATTTAATAATTCAATATTTACTAAATTTTTATATTGAAACTTGATATAGCGAACTTGGATGAGTATGCCTTTGATTCAAAATCAAAATCTCGTGCCACACCCGCAATAAT